GAACTGAGTCAATATTATTGTCACGCTCTGTCCTCAGGTTGGCGGTCATGTTTCACAGGTTAGAGATGAAAGTTGAAAACATTTTTGTTAAAGGACTGCCAAGGCCATCTTCAAAGCAACAGATTCTGCTTTGACAAACATGTGCATGCATTTAAGTACAGAGTACGTACAGAGCTCACTTGAATAACACATGAACGTGCAGAAACAGAAGAAAAAAAATCAGATGAAAAAATATATATGGAGCTGTGTGCAACAACCTTTGTATATTTTAAGGGCTCACAATCCCGGAATTTATCTGTTTTCATATTGGCGTAAGTAACTAGACAGTAACACTTGCAATACCACAATGCTCTAACAGGCACATAATAAAGAAAATGATAAGGAAATGAATAAATAAACAAACATTCAAATGATCCATCAAGCACAAAGTCGTTGCTTAAAAGTATCAATTATTATTTCAGCAAAACTTGGCACGATTACAAGATTATCTATTCGATGGTCTTAGTGTTGAATCTTTTTCCAAATTTAACAGTGGTTCAATTAACTATTCCTTTACAGGAAAAACTAACATATAATTATACTTGTCTGTCTGATTGCCCATTAAGTGTAAACACTGTTTTAGGACACAGTCACATAAATATCTCTTTGAAATTGTAAGATTATGACCTCATCATTTCAATCCCAAAGATCTGTACTGCTGTACAGTTTCTGTAGCAGGTCAAACACAGTAAATGATGCATGAGGACGCTAATAAATATTATTTCTGTGTATTTTATCAGAGAAAATAGATATAACATATAAGTCACTGCGTTCAGTGAAACTTTCTGTATAGTGCAGTACACTTTGTTTGTAACCAGCTCTTTCTCTTTCTCCTAACAGGTGCCACGTCAGCTCCCTGCCTCATTTTCATCTTCCCTGCTGTCTTTTACATCCGCATCGTTCCCAAAGAGGACGAACCCATGAACTCTACTCCTAAGATACTGGTGAGCCCTTGAAATCTGTTTCCCTTCAATCTTTCACTGCCTAGTTTGGTGATTGTGCTGTGTGATAAAGGCTTTTGTTATGGTACATCTTGGTAATTAAGCATCTTTACCTCTGCTGTGATTTCCCACCTCATTCTTAGGCTGCCTGTTTTGCTGCTTTGGGCGTCTCCTTCATGGTGATGAGTCTGAGCTTCATATTCATCGACTGGACAACTGGCGGCGGCCATGCTGCAGGAGGCCACTAGATGCTGTTTCAGTGTGTGTGAGCTTTGGAAAGGGGGAAAAAGAACTGGTCAATGTTAGGGGAACACTATTAGTATCACTGGGAACACACTACAGGGCTGCCCAGCACAGAACCTGGGCTTTGTAACATTACAAAATATACAGTATAGTATATTGGTTGGGATTGGTATTGGTTAATATTGATCAAGTTCAATTAACTTTTTAACTCCAACTTAACACATCTCTGAACAAAATCCTTTTTATACGTTCTATAATTCAATTTAACATGTAATGCAATTTTTGAATAATCAGGACTGAACAGGGTTTTTTTTTTCATTACCACCCATTGGTGCGACATCCATGTCCATCCATGACGGTGAAATGGTCCTTTTCTTGTTGCTTCCTCTTTATTTACAGTACACACAAACAACTGCAGCCGGTATTGTACAGAAAAAGGAAGGCATGGTGGTCGGCTGAAGACAGGAAGGCAACAAGATATAAATGAAAAATAGTTAGATAACTCATAAGTTATTTTTACACACATTTTAATCATTTTCCATGAGACGCACAAACGAGGACAGTCAGATGATCTCATCCTGAACCTGCAGCATGAGCTGTATGCTTATGTTGTGTATCATACAGTCTGAGCTTTCAGTGAGCTTTCTTCAGAAAACTTGGTGCCTTTTAGCATTTGGAACAGCACACAAAGATACAGTAAAAACAAGAGTGTATATTTATTTAGCTACTATATCTATGTTTTTAATTTCAAACAGACTATATTTAACTACTGTATATGATGAAGTTAATGATCCAAATACGTTATGTATAATATCAGTTTTTGTTTTAGCTAGAACTAAGGTGTTATGACTGACAATATTTCAAATGCATGATAAAATACAATGCTTGATTTTAGGACTTGATACCTCCCTTTGTAAAACTTTTAGCACATTTATGCCAAACTGTGACCTTAAATATAAACCAAGTACAGCTCAACTTTACCCCGGCAGTTCACCATTGAGTCTAGCTCATTAATCTCTTAACTTCTTGATATTCCCTTCAAATGTCTCATTGAGAAATGCTTTTTTCCACACTTTATCAAAAATTCTGTATCTACATGTTTTAACACTTCATTGAAGTTTGACTGAGTGAAAATTTAAACCCAAGATGCCATATTTTGCAAGGCTGCTCTGGAAACTTTAGTGAAAGGAATAGAGTGACATTTTGAATTGGGAAATACCCTTATTCTCTTTCTTGTAGAGCGTTAGATGAGAAGACTGATACCACACAACTACAGCCGGAAATAGTTAGTTTAGCTTAGTGTCAGACTGGAAGCTGGGGGAAACAGCGCCTCTATAGCTCACTTTGTATCTCATTCATTAAACCCGTAGTTTTAAAACCAGCAGACTCTGCTTTCCTCTGTAAGTGAGAATCTTATCTAGCCATGTAGATTGTTTGTATAAATTCAAATAAAAACATAAGCTATCTTGGCTCGACACCACTAAGGATGAGGTCAACTGTTTTTTTTTTATAATTTGGGTTTAAACAATGCCTGGCCAAGCAACAGGAATTTGTAAAGATGAACCCGCTGGTGGGTCTGGCAGAGTTTAACAAGTTAATATTAATTAATTTGTAGATGTATTATGCTTTTTTGATTCTGTCGTAACGTCTTTGCTGTACTGGTTTGAAGTATTTTAATTTGCTTTCACCCTTGTTGACTATTTAGACTTGAGGTTAATGTTTTGCATGCTGTTCTGTCCAGTCTGTCCTGTCATCGGTATAGTGAACTGCACAGTAACAGAGATTTTAGCTACACTGTCATACATAGATGTTATTGTAATACTGTGTATTTTGGCATCTTATAGTGAAGTGCATTGAAGTCCCATTCTGTGCTATAGTTATTATTCTGTTATATTAGTATTATGAAGCCCTTCTTAAAAGATGGTATGTGAAATAATGTTTTAAACATTACTGAAGTAATGTTCCGTCAGTGATGACACATTAATTTTAAGCTTAATTTAAGGATGTGGATGGATACTTTCAGTTGTTCTTGAGTAGGTGCGTCCTACAATAGCACTGACAACCTGCATAAGTTCATTTTTTTTATAGATTACAGGAGCATTTCATTATATAGAAACATAGATCACAAAGTTAAAAAACAACTCAGAGAAATGTTATAACCAATACATGCTGCTCTTATCCAAAGATGGTTTTATATTGTATCGCAACTCTCAGGCTTCAGAAAAGTCCTGCATAAATGATCACTTCTCTCATTTTATTTATATATTACTCTATTTTGTCTTTGTTCAGAAGTTTTGGTTCCTGATTTTACAAATAAATTATGAACAACAGCAGAGGAAATATTAAGTGCATGTATCAACCTCAGCCCCTTGTTTTCCCACACGTATTCACAGTGGTCATTGTGGTGTAAATGAAGGTTTAATTTGCCATATTTAGTGACACTTTAAAGGATCATGCCAAAATAACAACTGACTACCTACTGCTTTAAAATGCCTTTGGCTTTTAAACAGGTACCACAGTTTTAATACCAGACGCAGTATATCAAATATGCATTTTCCATCTTCCTAAACAAATCTATGTGATATTTTATTATAGCTGTTGTTCAAAACACAAAATCTATGGAAATGACACGACTATAAAATAATATGGTATATGAATTTTGGTGAATAAGACGTGGCTTTATATAAATAATGTATATAAATGTATACCTTTTATATTTGTGATGCATATTTACAGTAGCTTGTAAAGTGTAAATAGCAGGGACAGTTTTAGTTTGGCAATAAAATAATTGTAGATGTTTTTACATTGTCTCTGTTGTCATCATTTCCCTTTAACTAAAGCAAATTCTTGATGCTATTAATTTGTCGGCAATTTAATGGATTTTATAAGTGTAATATTTACACATCTTCATCCCCAAACACACTTTTTTTTGTGCATGGTTTAGAAGAAGAGTTTATCTATTACTGCTCAGTGCTCTTGTCAAGGCTAAGCTGTGTTTACAAAAAACACTAAACCCAAACTTTAGGTCGCCATGATCTCTCACTGCTGACCTTGTTATGTCAACATACTGCAGGTTTTTACTGTAATACGTCAACACTAACTCATTTAGATTAGCTTATTGTCAAAATAGCAGACAAGACACATTGGCTTCTGTGTTTCTGACACCTCAGCCACTACATTTAAGCAACGGATGTAACAGAATGCACCTGTATGCTGTCTGAGGAAGAACACCACAGCAACGGTGAGAGCTGGAGGTGAATTAGCACCAAAGTATTTTGAATTTAACACATTCACTCAATAGATCTTAAATCTTATCAGCATAGTGGTGTCTTTTAAGTTCCAACTAAGAATATAACCTTACTTTAAGATCACTCTGAACCACTGTAGCTCAGTATTAAAGCATAAACTAAATTAACTTGCATTTCAATAATAAAATAACAACAATGACAATAATAATAATAATAATAATAATAATAATAATAATAATAATAATAGTAATAATAATAAAATACTATACATTTATATAGCATTTCAATTTCTAACAGTTGTTTATCTTTTTGTTTTGTAAAGCATTGTGAGCTGCATTTCTTCCATGAAAGATGCTATAGAAGTATTATTTATTATGCCTTTCTAGAACATTTAGCCCAGTTAACTGTCAGCTACCAGAGAAAATGTCTATTGTCCATTTGGGGGCGCTGTCAACCAACTCTTCTCTCAGCCTGATTATGTGCCAAGGTATTTCATAAACATGTGACACAAACACCCATTTGCCATTTTAACATCCCGTCCCGCATCCTTGCAAAGACAACCTTGCTGCTGCATAGCTGAGTCAGTCACTGAGACCAGCCAGCTCGGGCTGCTGTATATATAACGTGTGTGTTTGACGTCTGAGGGGCTGCATCCATGAGAAATGCAGAGGAATGATGCTGGCACAGCGCCCACTGCAGTCTGCACACCGCACTCCTCAAATCACGCCTCGCTGGCTCCCACTCTAATTGGTTCCACGCAGGCTCCAGCGGAGAGCTCACCTGTTTTAATTGGACTATCGCGACAAGTCGTCTGAGTGACGTCGATGCCCACTTTCCTCAGTTGTCGGACCAATATCTGAGGATATCCGACGAGCCAAATTGGGCACCGACGGAGAACGCAGCAGGACCGACGGACGCGCTGCTCAGCAGGCCGACAACACAAGAGACACTGAGAGTCTGCAGCCTGCGGATGGACGCAGGACAGAGGGCAGTGAGCGCTCTCGACATGGACCAGCGGTAACAGCCTGAGGTTATTAAACCAAATGCTGTAGGAGTTCATCTGCTTCATCTCTGAACTCCTAGTTAACCAGGAGAGCGGGGGACATTGACTTTTTACGCGTGGGTAAAAACTCTGCAATCGGCTGTTTTGCTCTCTAGAAGCCAGTGCTGGACACAGGAGTTGCCCCGTCCTCATTCTCGCCATCGGCTGGCACGCTGAGACCATCAGCACTGAAGCCTTCTGTTTTTTGCGCAAGCGGTCGGTGCGCCCCTGCGTTTGGAGCCATGGGTTGTACGGTGAGCGCCGAGGACAAGGCGGCCGCGGAGAGGTCAAAGATGATTGACAAAAACCTCCGAGAGGACGGAGAGAAGGCGGCCAGAGAAGTGAAACTGCTTCTGTTGGGTAGGTTGCTCCTCATGTTATATTAAGAAACTAAAAGGAACGTCTGTTAAGAAACGCATCCACAGTTTTAGAGCGAAATTCAGTATATACTCAGAACATGGCATTAAAACATGAAATTCATAACTTAGCAGCACAACATGATGCTGTTGCAGAAGAATGAATAACATTGTAGGTAGAAATTAAGTTTAGACTTGACCAAGCATTACATCCTATCATAAAACGACCTAGAGTTCGTCCTAGCCAAGACATGGGCCTGTCAAATCCTTTTACCAACAGTACAGAAAAGTGGCCATTTCAATGCTCATGTTACCAACAGCCATACAGCCTGTAACTGTTTTATTAATTAGCCAACACATGTGTCCATATACTTAGATACTGACTCATAAGTCAGATACCATCATATCAACATGCTGTACAGCTTCTCAGAGCTTTGAGCTGGCTTTTTGCCCAGAAAGCTTAATTCAATATATCAGACCTGTGGGCTTTGACTAAACATTAACAGGGTTACACTTCAGCACCACTCTTAAATACACATCTGCCTGTTCATACAGAGAAACACAACAACAAAAAAACTATTCCTGTTTGTCTGCTGACAACAAGTGAAAACATTCTTTATTGAGAGAGCTGGAAAAACACACTCTCCCAAATTCTCTTGCATGCACGCAGGCATGCACGCGCACACGCACACACACACACACACACACACAAACACACACCCTCCCACTCACTTTCTCACTTCCTCTCTTATCCAAGTAAACTGTCTATATTTGCAGTCATCTTGCTCTTGATTTGTTCTTCTCCTTCTTATCGTCTAAATGTGCACACAACTCAACAGACAAGTGACCTGGAATACCATCTACGACTCAAGGAGGATGTGTGTGTGTGTGTGTGTGTGTGTGTGTGTGTGTGTGTGCATCCGTGTGCTGGGGGAGTGAGATGGGTGCGGTGTGGGTGGAGTTGGACTGGTGTTCTCTCTTGCTGTGACAAGCTGTCAGTAGAGGGCAGGATCCAGCGGAGTGCTGAAGAGCTACAGGATGTCTAGTTGTTGAGGGCCTTGCTCAAGGGCACATCAGCGATGGCTGCACTCAGACTATCTCGTTAAGTATCGGCCTTAGAAAGAATTATCATTAATAATGCAGAGTTTTGTCCTTGGTTGAATCCTTGAACTGTTTGTGAGAGAAAGAGAGCTATGTGTTTTTTTTATCAGAAAACGAAAGGCTCCTTGTGTAACCACAGTTTTTATGCCAAATGTCCCCTCATTAAAGGTCCAGTGTGTGGGATTTAGTGGCGTCTAGCAGTGAAGTTGCAGATTTCAACCATTTGAATACATCTCAGCCTTCCAAGTGTGTAGGAGAAACTGCTGCTGTGTAGCTCATGAAAAACGCGAAAGGCACTATCGAGTGCCAGTGTTTGGTTTGTCCGTTCTGGAGAAACATGGTGGTTCAACATGTTGGCCCCCATAGAAGAGGCTCATTCTAAGAAGATAACGCAACACTTCTTATTTTAAGGTGATTATACACTTAGTGTAATATTATAATCCATTACTGCCTTTAGGTCATCCTAAATGTTAAACACTGGACCTTTTTAATACAGGCATTTGGCTGCTCTTGCCCTCTGTTCACACCCCTGTAAATCGATGAATGGTTTTCGCCGTTTAAATGAAATGTGTATCTTGTATATAATGTCAACACAGTGGAGCTGTTACAGGGAAACTGTAGTATAATAAAGGTGACAGTTGACGGACAATCAGTGTGAGCGAACAGCAAAAATAACAGCAACTTGTAGCAACAGCAAAACATTTCAAAAATATAGAAAAAGGAAAACTGCAACTAGAGATAGACCCTGGGGCTTCAGGGCCGAGTTCTGCACTCATCATCCGCTGTATTGATCTTCTGTCGATCGAACTGTATTTGTTTTTGTGAAGTTGGAAGTTCTGTGTTTTTTATTTAACATCAAGACTTATATACTGTGTTGAAATAAATTAACTGCATTTTCAGTCTACTTGCTTGCACATTTAGAATCAGTACAGATTTTTTTGTCAGTATTATTATTATTATTATTATTATTACTATATGTATTTTGTATTATATGTTTTACTATGTGTATAACATGTTTTGTTGTTCAATAAATAAACACAGCTACCTTATTAGCTTGTTAATAATTTCTACAACTTTACATAGTGTACTGATTATGGCTGGATAAAAATTCAATGTTATCTTTAAGCAGAACAATATAAATATGATCTTATCATATGTTCATTCTACAAATGTTTTGAAAACCTGCCATATGATACATCAAAAATATTAGTATTGTGATAATGATTTGAACAATATCGCCCAAACCAAAACCCATATCGATAAACAAAAAAGGTGTGGTGAATTACACCAAACATTTTTTTATGACTTTATAGTATGTTAATATCTGATGTATTTTTCATGTATGAATTAGGGCCAAAGATATGCAGGTTAGGTTAATTGGTGACTTTAAATAGCCTTCCTCTGTCTTATCAAAATATACAGTATCTCTGGGCATTTTTCTCCCTAGACTTGTTTTCATGGTCCACTTCAAACCTCAATCTAACAGGTGTCAATTATTAATGTGATCTGACATGTTGAATTAGGTCATTAGTGTGATTAAATCTGTCTAGCACGGGGGAGTACCAGACCTTCTTTTAGGTGAATGTCAAGCATCTGGGCTGACCATGTTATAAAAATATGAGAAAACAACAGTGATTAACCATAAGCTGAGGTTAAGTTGATGACATAATGGCTGCATTTGTCTTGTTTCTGTATGAGAAGATACCAACTTGTCCTAGCAAAGAGAATATGAGTCACTTGATGGTAGCCACTGGAGCATGAAAGAGGTGCATCAAAATGGTTTAATGGGTTTACATATTCTTTCTTTTTCATCATACGTTCTCAGGGGGAACTAAGAGGCCCGTTCCAGTTTTTTCTTACAGAAAGAGTAAGGTCTGTAGAATCCTGCATGTTGTTCAGGACAAGTGCAGAGTCAACCAGTTGACTTTTACATTACATTTTCTTGAGTTTTTTAGACATAAAGAGCTTTCACACGTCCTCTGAATGGCGGGGCTGATACTTTAAGCCATATTTTTAGCACGGGGCTTAAAAGAAAACTTGAAAGGTCCATAGGAAACTCATCTCTCACCACTCTCCGTGTCATAAGAAAACAGTGATTGCACCATATTGCGCCATACTCGAGAGCTCTCTGTGTAACCAACTGACTAGATGGCACATCTTTATCAGAGCTGGAACCAGGAGCAAAAACTCAAGTTGCACAAATCTGTGATGCAAAATCTCAGGAAGTGAGGGTCATCAGTGCTTGACAATAATATATTCATATAAACATATACGTATTGATGAATGGTTTTGAAACATCAGAATTTTAGGCAATGTATGATGATGCCTATATAGCCTGTTCAAGAGTGTTGGTTTGGGCATGCATGAATTTAGAGGTTCTTTGACTAAAAACAAAAACAACAAAAAAACAACTGCTCAGTATCATGAAATCGTTGATTAGGCTTTACAAAGTAATGGTTGTGTAATAAATACATTTGAAAGTCTATGTAAATTGTAAGTTTTGTTGATAGATGGCTCGTACTGTATGATGGATAAATATTGTATTTGCATTTTCCCTCTCGCACTGTCCTTAACTGCCTTATATTGATTAATGTTTAGTTCATGCATATTTTTTGGGACAACATTTGTAAATAAAACTGCACATTAAATGTGTTGTTTATGATTTGAATGTATAATACATAAAAAATGATGCATTTTTCGATTGCACCTTAGACCTTGCACCTTTGCAATGGACAGGTTGATTATTATTATTCCTTAAAATCATAAATAATTGTCATTTTTGCACATGTAGCATCATAGCTATTATCTGCCTCGTTAGTGATTTTAAATTACCATCATCTTATGGATACAGGTCATCTGATTTCACATTTGAAAGGTTCAGTTTCAGTTTCCCTGTCACAATGTCAATTGAGGTTATACCTTTTTTCATCTTTTCAAGTTTAATTCATTTATTTGAAACTTAATTCCTTTGAACCCTCCTTAAATCATCCTCCATTGCAGCCTATCTTGAATTCCCAGCCCAGGCAGACGATAATAATAGTGCTGCACAGACATGACTCACCTCTCATGATAGAGGGAAGGGCTTAGGGTGAGACTGTCCATCCAGAGATGACAACTTCACAACTACCCACAAACTGAAAGAATATACTTATGTACTGTTAGTCATGTCTCTGCTGAATACCACTAAGTCCTCAATAAATGCATGTGTATTTATGTTGCTGACCTAGCAAAAAATTGATCCTCACTGTAGTCATACAGCCGAGTTATTGGTGAGTTTTCTGTGTAAAGAAAATGCACAATGCCCAATAAATCCCCTGATAAAGATTATTTTTGGTAGTAGCATAAAAGAGTGACCTCTACTCAGAGAATATCAGCAGCGATTTAAGGATTTTTCTTAATGAGGTGGCTTGGCTCTGGGTCACAGTGGCCTAATGAGCAGAGGCACAGCACATCTTTCAGGCTGTGTGTGTGTGTGTGTGTGAGTGTGATTTTGGGTCTGTGAATGAGATCATGTGTGTCTATATAAGGAAGAGTGTACATGCGTCTGTGCTTGATGTAGTGAGCTCTGAGCGTTTCCTGTAACAGGATGCTGGTTTATGACATCTTGTGATAGTGTACATTTAAAAATGAGAACCTTTTTGCACAATAGAATGATTCAGTGTATCTTATGTATATTTTACATTAAGCAATTCCCCCCTGCTTAAATATAGGGTCACCACAGCCTGTCCCTCATATCGGGAAGTATCCTGGATCAACCATTACAGGATTAACACATATTACTGCTGTGTCTCAAGATTTTCTAATTAATTCTAAATGAAGTTATTCTAAAGCAGGACAAACATTGACAAAGATGTCAGAATATATACACTAGTGTATGTAGGCTACACTTGTACAAGTCGGTAT